TTGCTATTAGAATGAAGAATCTGGAAAGATTTTCTCGTTAGCGATTACAAATTGTTGGAAATATCCGCAAAAAAGAAATTCGTTCGAAACAGTGTTCCAAAGCACATTTTTTTATATTACATTTACGTGATCGAGTGATACAGTGTTTGATACTATTCAAATCCATGAAAGTTATAGTGATTGAATGAAAGTTGTATAACAAACTAAACAAACTTATTTTACTATTGCTAGAAGTGTGAAATACTGAGCCTCATCTATTTTTTCGACCTCTAATTGCTGAAATAATAATGTCATACCACAATGCAGTTCAGTCGGGAACAGATAACGTTGTTTTATTAAATATATCCATTGGATAAAATTTTCAGTCTTACTTTTTTTTTACGTTGATCAATTAAAAAATTATATGCATGGATCTCAACTTTGTATAAATTTTATCTGAAGAAGTGTACGTCTAACAGTATAGCTACAGTGATACGAGTATAAACAGATGAGTGTCGAAATTTAGTTATAAGAAGAAAGTATTCTCGAACTGATTGTTTGTGTTTTTAATGAAGAAATGCCTGTTCCAACATGTTTTACAAAATGCACGTAAGCTCTAGCAAAAACATGCAGGTTACAATAAGACATTCAAACGAAATTTTTTTCAACTTTTTTCTCGTGAGTAAATACGAAACAATTGACAAAACTTATCTTGTTGTTACCTGAACCAGATAAATGTGATATGTCCGTAATATCGTTCAGGTTTTCATAAAAAGATTTGTTCAGAATCGCATAGAGTAACACCACATCTCATTTAAATCTAGATTTCGCTCTGATTCCTAGTCTTGATTCTGATAGTCGGTCAAAAAAACAATTAGTTCCAGTTTCAGTAAGCGTGTGTCCGACAGGTAATTTAAACACCTGTTGAAGAAGATTTCTATAAATAAAAAACTCTAGAGTTTCATCGATTTATTCTATTTTTCGAATTAGATAAAATTTACTTTCAAATCATAATTGATTTTTCGACATTTTTTCAAAAATTTAAAATTAGAAAAACAAAGAACTTGTTGATTATGATGAAAAAACAAAAGAAATTGATAAATATCATTATAACAATTTGAATTTGTTCCATCAAAATGAATATATTTTATACAAGAAAGAAGAGACGGAGAATTACAAATTAATGTTTGTAAGATAAATGCAAAGTTCTTTTAAGATAAATCTGACTGATTAAAAATATTTCCAAGTTTATCTATTAAAAATGTTGAATAAATAACACAATTAATTTGTCTATTTAATGACCAAAATGATATTAAGATTTTATCTCATGATAAATAGAAAAATATATTATGCAATCAACTCTATTAAATTAATGTAAAAGTGTCTTTTGTAGAACTTTCATATATTTTCGAAGAATATAATGAATGTAAATTTTAAATCGAAGGTTTTCGACTCCTCTGTCCATTATAGATCTTAGCAACTATTCTATCTTATGTGGTATATATGAGTTCCATATATTGACACTAAACGGACTATGCTAACAAGCTTTTTCAAAAGAATAATAAAACAACTATTTATTAAAATTTTGTCAAACACGATCTAAAAGGACTGTTGGAGTCATTGAGTTGCAGATGTACATTTTCGTGGACCCGAAGAAAAAAAAACTGAATCTGGACTCTATCAGCTCCAGGTTTCGACTCGAACAGATCCTAACTCAAATTTTATTCCAGCAATATTCATACACTTGAATCTTGTTGCTGTACTTCTCATCTAAGACTGAGCTTAGTATGATAATTGCCCTTTACTTTTCCCTCATACTCATTGCATTATATTGGAAGTGATACATTTTGTGATCGACATTTATTTACTATAGGTACGGATTCATAAATTGAAACATATACTGATTATTTTATTTTTTATACCACATCACAGTTTCGTTTTATTTCATATTTTAATTTCACAGTGTTTGTGCTAACAACTTTTTTTATTGATATTCTTTTAAACAAAAATGAATTGAAATGTAATAATTCTTATTGAATTAAGAGTATGCATGAAAGATTGACAATTACACTAATGCGTCCTACTGATATTTATTTATAAATAGATAAACTAGAGATCACAACGAAACGAGGAATTAGGATGAAAATTCGACTCAAGACTTAATTTTTCATAGCAAAAAATGGACTTGTAAATGATCGATAAGCTTCTACCTAGTGTTGAAAAAATCATTTATGTATTGATTGTCCTTTTGAGATTCAATTTGTGAGAAGTCTTCAGGAAGATATATCATGTTATATTCATTTACATGTATCAAGTTCTTCAAAGATGGCGAAATCATCTTCAAGTACAACTGGAAGAAATCTTTGTAAATGAAATTTTTATCGGATCGAACAAATCTATACCATGAAAAAGTTGTCCATTTTGAAGCATGATTCGAGCATCACAATTTTTACATCTCTTTCCAGCGCATAGCCTGTTGCCATATCGATATCGAATTAGACTGATCAGAACTGTTGTTCAAAGTCTGTCATTATTATGACTGTGAGATATAAAAAAAACAATGTTTTTCCTCAGATTAGTCACCACAGAGACTTTAATCCTGGATATAAACAATATATACGACTGCTTTTCGTGTATCTTATTTTCAATTATCTTGTTTTTCAAAAAATTCAAATTTCCTATCATACCATGCCTTAGATAACCGGCTGACATGTAAATGTTTAGTGTCTGTGCTGATAAAATCGATCACTCTCATAATCAGACTTATAAAATCATGAATAATACTCGTATCCAAAAACGCAATCACCATTGCGATGCAAAGCGAAGAATTTCTAGGGCGTGGGTGTGGCTTTAGATCAGAAGAAAAGGAGAACAATAACTTTCTTAATTTTCACAATGCTTTCTTCGCATCCGTTTATATGCTATTTAACAAAAAGAAAAGTTCCTTTCTTCACGAATGATACTAATATATTATTCAACGTATCTAAAGAATTTACTTTATGGTGAAGATTGATATTGAAATATTTGTAGATTTTTTTTTTCTAAAAAACCAATAACAAGATTAAATTGATATTCTAATTTGTGAGTTAGTTGTAAATGAAGATTAGAGAAAAACGGTTTTGTCTAGCCGTTTATAAGCTGTTGGATGTTCATCCGACTTGAATTGACACCTTTTTTCTTTTTTTTTCTGTCGTTGTTGAAGAAAATGATGGTACTGTCGACAAGCTTATTTTCAATCGGAAAAGAGATTTATTTTTGACGAAGCAGAAAAAATAAATTATATTAAGTAAAAAGCAGGGAGACAACTACATGTTTTTTTTCAAAATAAAAAAAAACAAACTCAAATAATATTTTCTTTCATTTATTTTTAGTAGATCATTTGAACAAAAAAGCTTTTTAAAAAAATCCGAATATCTTTATCAATTTGATTTAATTCATTCATTGTTGCATTTCCATATTCTCGAATTATTTTACCATCTTGTTTTACTGTTGTATGATGTTTATCTCCACATATTTTACTCATTGTTTCAGTTTTGTATATTTTCAGTTTGATTTAATGATTATTAAATTTGTGTTTCAATAACACATCTTTCCAATTATGTTGTTTCTCGTTTCATTGTTGTTATTATAAAAGTTCTTGGAAATGCTTCATTAAGATCATGTTTTTCTATAGTAGAGTCAAGATTTTCATCACCATGATGACTATCTGCAAACGATATTAATTTAAGAAAATTCGTTTTTAGCATAGGTTTTCATTTTTTTGTTGCTTTGAAACTCTGTAGTTGCGAAATTGGAGAAAAGTCAATCGAAATCAACGAAGATTTTTCAAATGGGGAAAATAAGCCATTGAATAGAAAATCATCATTACTATCTTCCATTTTAGTTTTTAGAATGAAAAGTTATTTCTTATTGTTAATTTTTATTTTTATTTCAATATGAAATCTATAAAAAAAAAAAGGATATCGCTAGACATTTAATTATCTCTTAGTCTTATTAATGACTTAATAGATGTGCGTAGGTTACTAATTGAATTAGTCAATCGAGATATTGCAAACGTTGAATATCAAATGAAATCATGTCGATAAAATTTCTTAAACAATTATAAAGTACTCAGTTGCATTGATGTCGTTTTATAAACCGAGATTATTTATTTTTGTATATTATCATAGAATTTCAATGTCTACTGAAGTAAACTTATTTCAAACAAATGTATTGATTTTAAATTCTCGTTTTAGAAACGGATTTCTTTATCTTGAAATAAAAGAAAAATGTTCTAATGATAAGTTACTTTTCAAAATGATAAATATATGCATTAAAAGTTAATAATCATGAAATAGAATTAAAAAAAAGTTCTTTTTTTTTATTGTAACAAAATTGGCTCATTGAAATCCTAAGACCAAGAGATTCTTTTTCAATTTCAGTCGCTTTTGTAAGACGACATAATTGTCCTATAAATTCCGATAAATCGGGTGCACCGGATAATCAATTTTCACTAAACAAGAGTTAAAGATTACTTTAAATTAAATTCGGTTTCATTTTTAAATTTCATTGCGATAAAGGTGGTGCATAGGATGCTGCACAGATATTAAATGGATTATATTCATCATAATTTAATGGATGTTCATCAATTGGATTTTTTTCACGAACACTTAATACTTTCCGTGTCTAAACAAAAGAACACAAAAAAAAGTAAATTTTAATTGTTTTTTGTTCGTCTTCTAAAATAATTCAATCAAAATGATGTTTCATTTAACAAAGAATAAACTCAATTGTTTTCAAATAAATCAAAATGAAAACATGAAAAATTTCTATCAACAGATTTGAAATATCTTGAAAGCATTAAAGATGTTTTCTTTCTTGTTTTTTTGGTTTATTTTAAAGCCTTTCAAAGTTGAAGTCAAGAAAGAATGAGAATATTTGGTTTCAAAAATGAAAGATTAATACTAAAGCCAAAAACCTATTGAGCAACATCAGATGCTGGTTCCAATTCCAATAAACGTATGGCAAAGCTTGTTGCAGCTTTATAATTTTTTAATTTCAAATGCTGAAATGAAGATTTTAATGTCATGATCATCTTTTGCTAAATCTTTTTTTGCCATTAACATTTGTAAACCAACAATATATTCTTTACATATTTCTGTTAATTGTTGACTCTCAAGAATATCTTGACGTGATTCAACAATATATAATGCAACAGATAATAATATTGAACGAAATTTTTCAACAGCTTCTTGAAATTTTCCATTTGTTGTTAAACGATAAGCGATTTGAAGACGTCCAACTGCTGGATAAAATAGTTTTGGTGAATGGACTTCACGCCTTAATAATTGAAATAAAAATTTTAAAATATTTATTAAATGAACAAATACAAACCAATTTCTTAATGAAATATGCATATAATTATGATAATGATGGAAGTGCTGTAAAAGCTGTACTTGAACGTGAATATATTTGAATAAAAACATACAAGATCAGGTGATAATTCAATTTCAGTATCACCTCAACCTTCATCTTGATTATTATTAAGATTATCGTCATCACTTTCAATTGGTACTTCATCATCAGCCCAATCTCAACCACTTGTTGCTGCTTCATTAATATGAAGATTTAAAGCAAGTTTTGCTGTTATGTTGGATATTAGATTTGCTTTGATTCTTATTGACTTATTGAACATGGCGATAAAATTAATTTAGGATTTAGATTTATATCAGGTATCTAAAATAAATATTTTATTTTGAATTACTAAATTTAACACGAGATTAATATTGATTAAATGTATGTCTATCTTATTATTTCATATTTAACATATCAATTCAACAAAGAACAAGTAACAGTAATAACTTTGTTAAAATCTCAGTCTACCGGCTTATACCATTTTTGAAATAGAACATAAAAATTCTTCTTATTTTATTTTAACCTACATTCTAATGAATATCAATCAGAGAAAATAAACTAAATTAACTATGACATAATGATTTTTGTACAATTTATTTAAAAAAAACTTATCATTCAATATCGAAAGAAACTTCGAGAATCATCATAAACTTCTTTATACAACAGTACAGAAAACTCTTTAGATAAATGATGTGCTGGACATAATTAAAGATTCTTAAAAAACATTTTATATCTCAAATAAACTGGTATATTTACATGAAAATCTATAACTAGTTTTCAAGACTTTCAATTGAAGATATTAGATAGCGACAAATAAAACTTTCTCAATTGCTTTAATTTTTTAAAAACCCTCTCGGACGAAGTATTAACATGAGAGCATTTTTTTATCCATAATATATTACTTTTTCATCAAATGATCCTATTGTATAAAAAAAGACACAATATAAATCAATCTCATAGAGAAAAAATATTACTTTGATTGCAATTTGAAATTGTCTACTAACATCTTTTCGTACTTCAGCTAAACAAAAAAAATAAATTAAAATCAAAACAATAAGAAATTTTTCAAAACCAATTTTCATCATTTTCCAAGAAATAGATAATTGAAACTATTTAAAAAAAACCACAAATAATTTACATCTATATTTCTATATTCAAGTGTCAAACCAAATCTTGTTTTTGCATCATTTGTTTTCAAGATGAAAATTTTTGAAAAGAAATTTGTAAATTTTACTTCATCGTATTTTCTATTACTTTAACTTTTGTTATATAAATATATAAATCAAGTATATGAATAATTTCATGATCACCATTCATAAGTGCATACTTAATATGATTTAATGTTGTACGATGAGAAACACCTGACTCATCCTAATAATGATAAGTAATTCGTATCATTTGACCACATTGTATATTTAACTTTGCATTTTCTTACACTTGCTAATGAACATTTTTGTTAAACATCATATATATTAATATGATCATTTTCACGAATTAATCAAGACCTCTGTCAGCATAAAAAATTTCATTACAATTTGCTAATTAAATTTTCTTTTTATATTTTGCATTAAAATCCATAAAACAGATTTAAAGCAACCCTTATGGCATTTAAATCAGATGAACGACGACCTTCACATACTAGAAAAGAATATACATTAAAAGTATCGAACAATTTAGATTTAGATAAAATATCTTTCTCTTTTTGAAATGTTAGACCTTTTTAAAATCCTAACGTTCAATTCGAATAAATCATATCATTCAGAGTTTTATATTGAATTTCTTGATTCACTAGCATCTTTCGAACGTGGACCATTAACAGTATTTTCAAATAAAATAAAACAATTAATTTATTTTAAAAAATTTACCTTTGTAATTACATTAGAGGAACACCTTTTAATGTTGTAATTTCCAAACGTCGTGAATATTTGATTATCATGACCTAGCAAACAAATATTTTATTTTACTTTTAATTTTTGAAAATGAGAAGAATCTTACCAGCAGCAAAAAAATGTAATGTTAAATGAACTGTTAAAATTCAATATCGATCATTTTTCAATGATTTCATTTAAATTGAATTAAAATAAAATAAACTGTTTGTTGATATCCCAAAGTTGATCTATCGAACAGAACAAAAAAGAAGTGAATGATATGAACAAACTTGAATATTGTGCGCTCGTCTGTTTCGTGCTCACAGCTGAATATGGAAGCGAGAGAAGAATGAAAAAATAATATAGGTCACGACAATATCTTTTTTTCGTTTCTTCTCTCGTCCGTAAGTCGTCATTGTTCATGTTATCATTGATGATCAATGATAATATGACATAATCCATGTGTATATCAATTAAGCATTATCCATACACATACATTGAGATATTTGTGATTGAATTTATCTCAATGCATGTGTATGTTGATGATAGCTTAATTATTATCGCCTTTTGATCACTCTCTGACGAAAAAAAAAAGTAAAATATCGATTTTTTAACATATAAATATGAATGATTTCCTATGTAAAAATCATTCAATTTATTGAATCATATATTAATCTTTTCTTTTTATATTTTAGAATGATTTCGACGATACAAAATTATACAATTCAAATCAATACAACGCAATAAAAAAACTAGATATCAGTTTTTCGTGTCTTCTACTTTGCGGTCATTTTTCCTTAATTGGAGGAAAAAAATGTCCGCAAAGTAGAATCGGGGGGAAGAGACACAAATGGCCGCACGTTGGAAAATGTCCGCAAAGCGGAATCGATAGATAGAGAGATAAAAATGATCGCATTATGGAAACAAGCGAAAACATATATTCAGGGTGATCAGTGTAGGTAGCTCGATTTAAGAATGAATATCACGTCCTTCGAGCTAGTCTAGTTTTCAATGTCACGTGCCGTCGAGGCCATTTTTCAACGCTTTTGTGAAAGAATGTATTTAAAGTAATCGAAATCAAGTTAGATAAATCAAATGAAAAAAATGTCCATCTTAAACAATGAAGGTGTGGGTGGGAGTGTGGGGGTGATGTGGATGTGTATAAACAGAGACCCGCACCCCACACCCATACCCCACCCACATCCACGTCCACACCCATACCGCACCCACACCGACGTCCACACCCATGTCCATATCCCACCCACACACACGCCCATATCCACACCCTGCGATCATTTTGTTATCGATATATCAACGTATTCGATACAACTGGCAAGGATGATCTTGATTATGAACCTCCACAAAATTAGATATTTTACTGTCTTTCATCAATCAATTTTTCTGTATTTTTTTCACATAATAAATTTTGTCTTCATTCTGTAATGCGACCATTTCTCTCTCTCTGTTGATTCCACTTTGCGGACTTTTTCCAACGTGCGGTCATTTGTGTCTCTCCCCCCCCCCCCCCCCCGATTCTACTTTGCGGACATTTTCTCTTAATTGGTTGAAAAAAATGTCCGCAAAATGGATGTAGCCCAGTTTTTATTTTTTTCTTCTTTTTTTTTTCTTTATTGGATCATACAGAGGGTGGTAAGTCCTCTTGTGATCTTTTATATTCATGTTTTTCTTTTCCTGTTAAAGACGTCAACATCAACGGGTGAGTTAATTTTTTTTTCTTTTTCTTTTCTTCCTCGAGATGAGAATAGTTAGGGTGAGTGATGTACGTTGAGATTAAGGTTTCTCTTTATAAGAAGGACTTCCGGGTAGTCCCTAAAAGCCTGGCCAGGAACTGTCTTGGTGTCCGTGGCACACGATCGGGCCCCCAGACTCACTGACATATGACATCGGATGGGTGCATGTGGATGATGTGGGTCTTCCCGAGCGTGCATGAGCTTTACGCTCGCCACGGCTCCACCAGGATGGTTCCTGGTCGCGCGCGCGAAGAGAATAGAATAGCTATGAAATCATTTTTTCATTCAATCACGATTTATTTGAAAGAGAAAGAGAACAAAAAAGAAAATAAAATTCATCATCGTATTGAATTTCATTCGATATTAAATTTTTGTACTCGACTATTTCCCCAATCGACGACATAGAGATTGCCATGTCGATCAAATGATAAACCTATGGGACAATAGAGTTGATTCGACTGTGCTCCTTGACCGTTTCCACCAACAATGACACTTCCTTGTGTGGCTCCTTTTGGCCAACGCATGATTCGATGATTCCAATAATCAGTCACATAGACAGTACCCAATTGATCAACAACGACTCCTTGAGGATGATTCAATTGTGTAAGACTATTTCCTTCTCCTTGACCACCGGCGACGATAATACCTTGTGTTGCATCTTCTTCCCATTTCATTACACGACCATGTCCCAAATCAGACACATAAACTGAATGATCTCGATCGACAAATACGTAGGTAGGCCAAGAGAGTTGATCGAGACGATTTCCTTGTCCATTGCCACCTGCAACTACTGTTCCTTTAGTGTCACTAATTTTATATCGTCTCACTTCATGTTTTTCATCATCAACGACATAGAGAGAACCATTGTCATCCATTGTCAAACCGTAGCAAGCGATATTTGAAATAATAGTTTCTCCACGAGTACCATTTCGACCAGACCAACGAACTACTCTTCTATTCCCACAATCGCTGATGATGAGATTGTCACTCTCTTTGTCGATAATCACATCATATGGGAAACTTAACGGATGAGCTCCATTTCCACCAGCAACTACTTTTCCATTCGTTGCACCAGATTTCCATTCCACAATACGATGATTTCCCCAATCAGCGACATAAATCGTTTGATCGTCGTCGACGTACAAACCAAAGGGGAAAGAGAGGTGATTGGGTTCACTGCCCGATCCATTTCCTCCAGCAACGGTGATACCATTCTGTGCCCATTTTGCATTCGGATGAATATCAATGGAACTTGCACGCATTGGTACTGAAATGAAACAAAAGTATGAAGTAAAAATAAACATCAATGTCATTGAAATGAGTCATTCTCATTTGTTTTAAACAATATTGAACTGTTCTCAATTACAAAAGTTTTTTACTTATGAACTTGATTAGAATCTAATTTTTCTCAATGTTGAAAACAAAACATTGTTGATTTTTTTCAAATATTTTGTGTAAGAATCGTTAGTTTGACTAAAACTAACTAAAATTTAACTGGTAATGTAAAATATTGTGATTAACTCGAATTTTATCGTAAATGAAATTTTCTTTTTTATCGAATTTTTCCAACATATTCACTGATTTTGTTAGTTCGAGTTTGAAATGTATTTAAAAATCATTTCATTTTTTTTGTTTAGATTTTACAATAAAATGAGTTATAATAGAATTTGAACGTAAGGAAAAACAATTTTGTTATCAGTTGATAGGAAACGGTGTATGATTTATGTTTGTCACACATTTCTGAGTGCAATGAGACAAAATAAATTTGCAACTTTTATATGAATTCGTAAAAAACATCTTGCTAGACAATAACAATAGTTAATTATACTTAACTACCATGCATAAGACGTTTTTGATTGATTCATATAAAAAAATTACAAATTCTTTGTGTAAGTATTTTTCTTTCTTATTCCATTTACGAATGTGTGACAAATATAAATCATACACCATTCGAAAGTATTTTATGCCATGAATTTTGCATCATACTTATTATTGAGTAATTTATTCCTGAATCTCAAACAAACAAGTCGTTTGTAGAAAGGCTAATCGAAGTGCTAAATAAGATAAGTTTAGATAAAAAAAATACGCAAGTTCAAATTTTAGTAGATAAGAAGAACTCAAAAACAAATCTTTCCCAAGTTCAAGAATATTTGAAGAATCTGTCATATTCATTACTCAACATTATAGCACAAACAATAATCTATATACGAATCAATCAAATCTTTTATTTTGAATTCATTTCTAATGTATTACAGATTTTCAACTTAATAGGGTATGGAACACGTTTTTTTAAACAATAGCAGTTTCGATCAAGGATCGATTTCGACCTTTCTACAATTAAATATTTTCACTTCTTTACAAGACAATACGAATCTCCTATGAAAATCTTGATCTAAAATGTTTGCAAGCTTATGTTCTGTAGGTTATTCAATAGGTATAAATTTTTGAGGATTCTCACAAAAAAAGCAACGATCGTAAAGATTTTATCACGATTTTAGCTATTCTCAATAGTAATAAGTGTGAAGATTTCTTCTTCAAATTTTTATTGTATCGCATTCTGAACTGGTTAAATCTTAGAAGAAAGTTTTGTTTTATTTGTCTAGAATTTTCTAAAGATTTATATTGATACTGACTTGAGCTTTAGACTAGAAACAATACTTCTATGATTATATCTTGAATGGACAGTTACAGAACTGAT